ATTCCCGTTGATGATGTAACCTTGGTCCGTCCTTATGGCTGGTGGGAGAGAGGGGGAGAGGGAGGGAGGGGAGGGAGGGAGGGAGGGAGGGAGGAGGGAGGGAGGGAGGGAGGGAGGGAGGGAGGGAGGGAGGGAGGGAGGGAGGGAGGGAGGGAGGGAGGGGGGAGGAGGGGAGGGAGGAGAGAGAGAGGGAGGGAGGGAGGGAGGGAGGGAGGTGGGGGAGAGAGAGAGAGAGAGAGAGAGAGAGAGAGAGAGAGAGAGAGAGAGAGAGAGAGGAGAGAGATAGAGAGAGAGAGAGAGGGAGAGGAGAGGAGGAGAGGAGAGAGGAGAGAGGGAGGAGAGGGAGAGAAGAGGGAGAGATAGAGCGGGGAGAGAGGCAGACAAAAAGAGAGAGAGAGAGTGTGAGAGAGAGCAGACAAAGAGAGAGAGATATAGAGTGTGAGAGAGAGGTAGACAAAGAGAGAGAGACAAAGAGAGAGAGGGAATGAAAAAAAACTTGATTTATTTTATTGTTTCAATGGCTATCTGTCTCTTTATCTGTCTACCTGATTTTTATTGATTTCTTCATACATTTGTCTATGTATATGTCTTTGCAGTTCAACCTGTTTATTCATCTATTCATTTATTTGTTTATCTGTTTATTTACTTTTTTATTATTTACTTATATTTTTTTAGTTACTTGTTTATCTATTCACTTATTTGTTTATTTTCTTATCTATTTATCTATATATTTACTTATTTGTCTGTTTATTTATGCACATATACATATTAGTTATTTCATTTATCTACTTATTTATTTTTCTACTTACTCTCTATCTTTCTGTTTATTTATCTATTTGTTAATAATTATTTTTTCTATTAATTTGTTAATCTGCGTGTAATTTACATGTATTTTTTGTTCCGCTTACGAATATACATGGATTGATGATATTGATTTAACATACTATTACTGTTACTATTAAATATATTACTATTACTACTTCTATTTCTACTCTTCCTCTTACTTCTGCTACTCTCACTATATCTATTATTAATTATTACGAACAATGGCAAAGGCGAGGCTAATAACAGAGGCAATAATTATCAGTCACAATGACGATGGTAATGACAATGAAAATGACAGTGGTACTGACAGTGACTATGACATAGGCAATAAAAGTAATAAAGAATAAGGCAATACCAATTTAGATGACAATAATGATGACATTGACAAAATAAGTAGCAATAAGAATGATAAAGACAACGGCAATATTAATAGCAATAACAATGAAAATCACAGTGTCAATAACTATAAAAATAACAACAATAACAATAACAAATAACATTAAAATAACAATCCCATTAACAACAAAAATCACAACAACAAAATCAACAAGAACATCCATTCCCATCTACGACATTACCCCCACCCCCACCGTCCTCCCCTTCCCCCGCCCACGCCCAAGCCATGCCCACACCCTCCCACGAACCCCCCGCCCACGCCCACACCCTCCCCTTCCCTTCCCCCGCCCCCGCCCACCTACGCCCCGCCCACGCCCTACTCCGCCCACACCCTCCCCCCAGCCCCCGCCCACGCCCGCCCACACCCGAACTCACCCAGGAAATTCGACGACCGGGCCATCTCACTCACGGTCAGGTTGCACGCCCGCGCCGGCACCCTCGCGATGAGGTTGTAGCCCACGGGGAGCGACGGGCGGGTAAAGATGCCGGTCACACGCCTACATGGACTCGCTCTGCAGGACAGGCACTCATCCGCAGACACCCCGCCCACGGCCGCTGACGCCCATGTCACCACCTGCGGAGAAAGGGAGGGCGGGGTGAGAAGAGATGGGCGTGTGTGTGTGGAGATGGGGCGGTTTGGGAGGGTATGTTGGGGGGTTATGTTGGGGGTATGTTGGGGTTGTGTATGTGGTAGGTTGGGATTATATTGTTGGTATGTTGGGGCCATGTTGGTGGTATGTTGGGATTATGTTGCTGTGGTATGTTGTTAGTATGTTGTGTTATATTGTGTTATGATGTTGGTATGTTGCGTTATATTGTGTTAGGTTGTTCGTATGTTTTGATGTTCCTTTGCTTTATGTAAATATGTGGTGTGTAGAATTTGGTGTAGTATAGTGTGGTGTTTGCAATTTGTGCTATGATGTGCTATGTGGTGTTATTGATATGTCATGCTATGTTGTGTTATGTGGTGTTACTGATATGATGTGTTATGATGAGTTATCTGGTGTTTTTGATATGCTATGTTATATTCTAGTGTGTTACTGATATGCTGCTCTATGTGGTGCTATAAATACGTTATGCCACATCGTGGTATGTCACTAGTATGTTGTATTATCTTATGTCATCGATATAATAAGTTATACTGTTTCATGTCATTGCTGTTGTGTGTTATTGATATAGCGTGCCATATTTTGTTATGCGCCATCAGTGCTACTGCTGTTTTACTGAAATGTTATTTTGATATCTAAAATTGCAATACATCACAATTTCTCTCTCTCTCTCTTTCTCTCTCTCTCTCTCTCTCTCTCTCTCTCTCTCTCTCTCTCTCTCTCTCTCTCTCTTCTCTCTCTCTCTCTCTCTCTCTTCTCTCTCTCTCTCTCCTCTCTCTCTCTCTCTCCTCTCTCCCTCTTCTGTCTTATCTCATCCCTTTCTCATTCTCTTCTCTCCTCTCTCTCTCGTCTTTCTTCTCTCTCTCTCTCTCTTCTCTCTCATCTGCTCTCCTCTTCTTCCTCACCTCACCCATCTCCATCTCTTCTCTTCTTCCCTCTTCTTCCTCCTCACTCTCCCCCTTCCTCCGTCTCGTCTTCCCTCCGGCTCTCGCGGTTCTCTCTCTCACCTATTTGGCTGTCCCTACCATCGCTCCACTCCTCTCATTTTCTCCGTTTTTCTTTCCTTCCTCCTCTTTCTCTCCCTCCTCCAGTCTCTCAATTTCATCTATCGGTCCTCTCTCTCTCTATTCTCCGTCGCTGCTCTCCCTCCGTCTTCGTCCTCTGTCATCTCCTCCTACTTCGTCTCACCTCGTCCCGGCTCTCAACTGTCCTCAGCTCGCCTTCTCTTCATCATCTCTCTCAGTTCTCTCCTCCCTCTTCACTCATCTCTCCCTTTCCCTCTCATCTATCACTCCATCTCACCTCTCCTTCGCTCCTCCCATCTCATCTCCTCTATCTCTGTTCTGTCCTCCCCCTCTCCCCTCCTCTCTCTCTCTCTCCTCTTCCCTCGTCTCCGCTCTTCCTCCTCTCCTGACGTCAATATCCGGTCGCTCCTTCTTGCTCCTCCTCCCGCTGCTCTTCTCTCCGTCTGTCTCTGTTCCTCGCATCTCTGTACCTCTCTCATCCTCTCCGTCTCTCTCCTTCCTCTCCTCATCTCGTCTCTCTCTTCTCCCTCCTTCCTCTCGCTCTCTCGATCCTGTCCTTCCTCGCCAAGTCTCTCTCCGTCTTGCTCTTTCGTCTCTCTTCTCACTCTTGTGCACTGAGTTTTGCTAACTCTCGTGTTCTTAAAACGTATCTTATCATAAATCACTAATTAGAATACATTTATTTCTCTTAGAAGAGTTGAAGATAAAGGGAATTTCTGATAAAAAACGATCACTAACGTTGTTTCAAAATGTCCAGTAAAAAAGAAAAAAAGGCAGCTGATATACAAAACATGATTACACGAAGGAAAAAATAAATAATTTGACGGCTAATACATTTGTTAATGTAATCACTATATGCATCAATTGAATGTATACAATCAGTATAGAATTGTAATACAGTATAGGGACTGGATTATATGCAACAGAATAATTGTAGAAATGATCTACTCAGGGTCATTTCGATTTTTATCATGTCACAAGGTCATTTGATAGTTGGTCACATATCTGTCACATAAGGTCATGTCGTTGTTGTTTTTTCATGTAGCAAAATGCGAGGTCATGTCGTTTGTTTCATCGTCAAAGGGTAATTAGTCGTTTGTTTTCATTAT